TTCATTTTTTTCTAATCGACGTTTACCGCGCATTCCTTTTTAAGCAAATCAATGGCGATTTTGTCCGTTGGCGCCGCGATAGAGCAACTTTTATCGAGGCCGACGAATTTGCCGTCATGCTGTGCTTGTTAAGGTCAGTTTGATATTAATTATCCCCTTTTGTTTCCTCTTTGAACTCAGTCAAGGCGGTGGTGGCCCGATAGTAACGTCACCAGATTATCACTCCAGCGGACGTGCGTTCGAATCCCACCACCACCACCTGACTTCCCCCATTTGTGCGTATTGAATGGCAGCCCTTTGATTGTCCGCTTCTCTACTCTTGAAAATTATATCATTGTGTATTCAATAACAGGAAGTAAAGATGAAAAAGAATGGTAATTTCTACCCTATATACACACGTCAGTGAATCTTACCACACGATTTAAAAACCTTGACCATTGCGAATAAAAAACCTGAAAGCAGTGTTAGTGCAAAATCTCCGCTGTTTGCATCGTGTTATCCGTTTTTTAATGATGATCTAGTGTACCAAAGGGGGTTCGAGCACGTGGCATTGCAGAATCCCAATCAAACTACACGAGATTTCATAATCTTACGTTGATCGCGCACGTTCCTGTTCAACAATGCTTATCATGGGAGGTGGCATTTTGAAAAAATAGAGATACATTAGCTCATGGTGGAGCAAGAATGGACAGAAATGTCTACTGTTAAATTAACTTACAGTAACTGATTTGGAATATCCGGCTAAATACTGTTCGATCCCCTTTCAACCCGTGAACAACAATCTTGGCTAACAGATCACTGCTGGTTCTACCGTTTTCCAGTCTTTCATTATGTGTTGTATTTAATTGTTTGTTTGATCGACCTAGTATGCCACCATCTTACTGGCCTGCAGGTCATGTTGTACTTGAATCCCACTACTGCCGCCTGAACCTACATTTTCAGTCTCAAACAAATTCATTGATTAGTGGCTTTCTCTTTCCTCAAATCTGATTATACTGTTTTCTGTTCAGTGACGGGAAATAAAATAACAATAATATGCCGTACCACATCAGTCACCATTAGATTGGCTTCGATATATAGCAGCAACAAAAGCTACCATAAGTAAACTAAAGTTCGATTGCTATCCTTTTGAATCGGGCTTTGAATATTTGAACTAGTCGCCCAAGGTTGCGTCTGAATCTAATTGTGGGCTCCTGAAGCTGAAGATCGCTTGTAGAATCAGAAACCTTTTCTATTGAGATACATATCGAGCTACAAAAACAGCAATCAACACCGTTGTTTACAAAACTGTCACATATTGAGTATATTTTAGTTTTTGGCTCAAACAATAATAAACGTAGGATTCATTTGATGGAGACTAGTTTCGACAGCAAAATTCGAGTCTGCAAACGACCAAACTCTGTTCAAGAATCGACGCCAGACTGAAGATTGGTTCACAATTGTCTTCGTTAGCCTATTTCCAAGAACACATCGCAAGAATTTCAGTACGAAAGATAGTTAAACACGGGAACGTGGAAGCTAACTTGCGTGTACAAGCCAGACTGCCATGTTTTCCAGGTGAAGGTAGGTAAATTTGCGTGGGGAGTTCATAGCTGGAGGTTTTAGTCAGCCAGAACTTTACCCTCAAGGCAGCAGGGCCATGTTTGAAAACCGCATTCCACTGGGGGTCGGCTCATCGAATCATTCGCCCTTTGAGCAGAGTCGAACGTCCAAGTTATCCGATACACCTCGATGCCCAAGCAAACCAGGGACTGCTGTCAATCAAGGAAATATGTCTGTGGTTCATAAGCCTCTTTTCGGTTGGTTTGGGGTCGGGTTTTTTTTTCGGTAACTCACTTGGATGGACTGCCAGTTGTTCACTGACACGGTTTTGGCCCCGAATATTGGCTTTTCGTCGTTTCACCTTGGTGGGAAGACACGTCCGCTACGGAAAGGTAGTAGGTAGGGCTCCATCAGTAAAGCTTAATCGTGACACATGGTCGTATAGGGGCATTTTGCGAGATGCAACGAGGCATCATACAGAGGCTTTCGGAGGCCTGTTTCTTCTGCATGTCAGTGAAGCACGGTGCATTTACCCACTCGTAATGTGTGCAATCCGGGCATAATTTTTATATTCATGGCTTCATTTGTTGTAGACTTCTTTGTCTGAGCTACGGTGATGAACAAGCTACCGCGGAACACTGGCATACAATTTGCACTTTGGAGCAAGAGCGACGAACCAGAATGAAAGCTTTCAAGATACAACCTGCCGCCTGAATGTATCGGGATTCCCGCGAACTTCTGTCCTCAGGACTACACTTTTTATAGCTTATTGTTCTTGTCAGATTATACCACATATTTATATTACTATATCTAGAGTACGATAAATGCATTCAACCCGTACGCTCTCTATCACTGCTTTCCTCAAGAGTCTAATTTCTGTTTTGAATAGCACAGTATGATTAAGTTCAGATAACCATTAACCTTGTAGGTTAGTACTCTAATTCTGTTTTTATCTCATATACGTCCTGGAATTGGCAAAACTTATTTGACAAAATGAGTTCAGTAAATGATGCTGATTAAGGGGTGCATGATTTCTAACTAGGCATCCCGCTTAATATCCAGTTATAAATAGACACCTACTGCTAAGTCCCATTTGATCCAGACTACCAGTTAAAAATGTCACCTTTCCGCAAAGATATATAACGGGTATCGTTATATTTCCTCAGCTATCCATCAGATAAACTCATCTGAAAGCCTGCATTGCACACGTTCCACTGTTTTCACATCCAACGTGCCGCGTTTTTCGATCAGGCAACATCTCCGGTTGGGATTGGTTTTAGGAGCGAACACGAATGGCGCAACAATGGTTTAGTTGCTACGCGATAGACATATGGCAAGAACGAACTTTATCTGTTATGCACGTATTCACACAACTGCTAAATGAATGAAAAAATGACCACCACAACTTTACCTAGGCGGTTAACCATGCTGGTTTGGTGCTTTCCACGGAATAAACACCCCATTTTATCAATCACAAAAATATTACTCCACTGGTTTCGATTGAAACGATCTAATTAACAGCCCGCTGGAAAGAAAGCATCAATTATTGAACACTTCGAAATATCATGATCACTTATCTACGTTCAGACTAGGACAAACCAATCACGGTACAAGTTTTATAACCAAAAAATCAGACTATAATTTGCTACTTGGCGGAATACTGTCAGGTTGCCCAAACCAAAGCAGGTGAATTTCCTCGGTGTATTCACAACCAATCCGGCTGACCGAAGTCCGACCCACACGCCTGTCAGATGTTGTGAAAGCAGTAATTCATTCAGGTCTGGTGCCCAGTTCGTTGTACCGCAGGCCTTTTGGATAGGATCGTATCAACTAGACTAGGTGAATTGATAGTGGTTCATTGACCCGGATGTTGGCTTTTCATTTTATTGAAAAAAGCCGCCGTGTGATAGCAGTGGGTTGGGCTTCACCTACAGAAGCGATCGGGGACGCTTGATCGTATAAGAGCATTTCTGAACGTACAAGAGAAGGATGGCCATTCAGAACCCAAGAAATTAACTGCCGACTAAACTGAAGCTATCAAGTGATACGATAACTCGTAAGTTTTATCTAAGTGAAACCAGCGTCTGTGGGGTTGAGAGGATTCCAAATAAATACACGCTAGGGTGTTTTAAGTCGGTAAATGCACTCTGGCAGTCCCCTATCTGTCTGGGACAACTCCTACAAACGTCATTCATAAAGATAAATCTGTTGGTGGTGTCCGGCTGGCCAACGACACTGAAGTATTGTCCAAATAATCATTTGGAAAGATCTCAACGATAACCGACCATAATGCTAGTGGTCACTTCGTTCTTTAACCTCAGGATAATCCCCAAGGACGACTTTTATTAGTCAACCGGGCCCACGACGGACTGAGCTTGTACACTTTGTGAGGGCTGAATCTATTTCCCCGCTATGACTTCGAGGTTCCTATCGATTCAACATTTTGAGTCATTTACAAGGAAATGCTCGAAAGACAAAAAACACATGTGAAATGCAAACTTCAGCCTTACGGATAGATTCGTTCGAAAGTAAAATTTACAAACGCATTGTGCGTGTACATGAGTGTTTTGTCTCTCTGCGTACCTGTTAAACATCTCAGACAGACTGGAACGCATCTAAGAAACACGCAGAGTGTGTAAGAGCAGAATCAGAATTGCGAAGACAATAAGAAATTGAAATATCAGTAAGGCGGAACCGATTGGAGAGGGCAGCCACAGCTAAGGAACGGAGAAATCAAATGAACAAAGAAAAACAAGCACCAGACGTACAGGTCCCCAAATCACGTATAAATATGTACGGAGCGGAGAGGTAACATCAAATTGAAGAGGCGGTCCAAGGGAGTAAACGGGACAGCACATTTTTGACGTGGTGTACGCCGATAAAAGTAATTGGTATTCACAAAATGAGTATGACCAGTTGTATGATGCACTTCCCCCGCGATAGGGAATGTACGAACTGTGCGTGGACGAATGAGAAGTGTTCATTAAAATGAGCGTGTGCGGGGACGAGGAAGCAATCGAGCTTCTCGGACTGCAAGATGCGATTAGAGTGAAAGGGATATATGCATGTATATAAACCCAACCCAATAAGATAAGCTTCGACTTTAATGACGAAGCAAACTGGAAACACGATTGTCCAATTTAAGTGGAGAAAAGAAACAAAACCAAGTTTGGTGTGAAGCTGTATAATCGTAAACAGACAATCTTCCCTGTGCACACTGACTGAGTAATTGTAGAACAGATTGAACAGCGGCGGGACGAGCAACAACGGGGTCCGGGAGGAGAATGGGGACTAGATGAGAACAGGAGGCAATCAGCCAGGAACCCGAGAAAGACTCATGGAAAAAGCTCAAGTTGGAGATGAGTTGTTACATGCCAAAAGCGCAAACAACTCAAAACAAAGGCTTAAAGCGGATTCATTTTGACTGTCCAACTCATCGAACCGTTACTGGCCCAGGGACAGCGGGTCGTGGACGCCAAACAATTTTGAAACCACTGTCCACACGCATCTTAATGCTGGCTCCTTCGGCTACGTGCAAGGTCTCAATAACCGTTTGCATGAGATTTTGCGCGTTGCCCACCAATGATTCCGTGTTCTCCTGATCTTCTGATGAACCTGAGTTGAAGAAAGCCGGAATAAGGTGAACGGAGGCGATCAGTAAAGCAACGAATCCCAACCTTAAAATAATGAGTGGGCACATGTGGACGGGTTAATTTGGTTTGTTACATGCGAAACGAAGACATCCGTGGCGGGTATGTTCAGAGTACCGTATCGCTTATTCGCCTATTTGTTATTTATCGTCTATGCGATATTAGACACCGAAAGGTAAGCGCCGTACGCCATTGACCAATGGTCTCGTGGTTCGCGGGTTCAAACCCGTTGCTGTCGATCAACATTTCGCTTAATTGTTTGGAGGGCTTCAATCCATTTACTGATTATCAGTTACACCTTATTTGCCTGCTAAATAAACTGCAGTGAAAACGCACACCGTAGGTGAACTGAGTCTCCATGTGGAGAGTCAATGAACCGTCAATCCAGATAGGAACAGAACACAACTGAACGTTTGAATCGTGCAACCATGCGCTCCAAGTGTTGGTCATCATCCGTGAAGTGTTTCAACTCCCTATAGGGACCTAAAAATGGTACTCACTGGTTATGATTCTCAATAGGGATGAAACAGATGTTCGTGGGTCATCATATAAATGTTCATTACACACAATAATATTATTGTTATTATTATCACAGCTTAAGTAAACGCAGTCAGATCGATCGAAGAATAAACCGAAAATGTGCAATACAACTAAAAGACGACCGATTTGCACTTTTTGAAGTTCATATGCAGAGCAGCGCTATCTGTATCAAGTGGTCAACCGTTAGCTAAATTATGCAATCATTTTCAAGAAAATTTTGGGTTACTTTTTAGGAAGCAAACGCGCATGCTTGTGTCACATTCACAGCAAAATACATGCAGGAGTGGGGGAGGGACAAGGAGACATTTCATGCGAGATTACCGCAATCGAGTTCAGATTGAACGGGCACGCCGAACCAGGAGTCATCTTCAAAATATTTGGAGGAAAAAAGGGAACGGTGATCAGAAAGCCTCGATTGAGGGTAGAGGTGATTCTGGAGGGATTGGTATATACATATATATATATATATGTATATATATATATATACCACCTCATACTCGGCACGTATGCAAAATAAAATACAGCAGATTGAGGATGTGTTTCTAAACAGTCCGAAGCCAGAGGACCGGTGCAGAGATTCGTAAGTTACGACAAAAAATAAGATGTTTGGTGTTCCAGCAGTACTGTCTATGTTGCATTGCATCAGTTCAGGTTGTGTATCGGGGGGGGGGAGTACAAGCAGTGCACATTTTTTGCAGATCGCTGTCACGCACAGAAGCAGGAGTTTAACTTCTATGGTTTATGATGGCTGGGGCAAGTGTTACGCATGCCACCAGATAGATGTCATCGTCGCGCGCCAGTTGCGGAGGCAGGTATAGGATGGAAGAAAATTAAGGGTGATCTGACTAGGACTTTGCATTAGGCGATGCTCCGTACCAAGGAAATAAGTCCTGTAAGTTACCTCAGGCTTCCTGATTGGAGACAGAGATTAGTGTAACGAACGGTTAGAGCGATGTTACTGTGCTTTAAACTGGCTCAACGTATGCGCAAACTGAGTGTACCTGATATCTCTATCTGCACTTTGCTACTGCTCTCGATCTTCTGCTTCTCCTGCATCGATCATTTCTGTACCAAATGGACAGCCGAAAAAACCCCACGAAAGTGCAAATATATTGATTGCATCAAATAAAATTAAGCTTCTAAATAGCTACGTGCTTTTCTTTTTTATTACGCATTTGTGTGATGAACATCAGACGGGGTAGACCCCATAGTAACGAAGGCCTGCTGTTCAGTCATGGAAACTGGTAACCTAAGCCCCGGGACTTGGAGCGGCGAATCACTCAGGGCCCCGCTAGGTTAGGTATAGTATTGGATAGGATGACAGCGAAGTTGCCTACCACCATAATACTATTGTTTCCTCTTGTCAGCCAATGACACTGGAATTTGAGCATACATCCGCAATAATCATTTCAAGACGCAACATTCATGCTGGAATGTGATCCCCATTCTCAAACGGCCCGACTAAAAACCATTTGCTGAACTAAACTGATCATCATCCAGTGTAATCCGTAGTTAAACCAAACTTAAACTCCACAGGCACCAGAACATCGTGATTATAACGCCAATCAACAGTGTCAACTACCCAATCCTATGAAGACTGAGTAGATGAAATACGAATAAAATTGAAAAATCCCGATAAACATCAGAATTTTGAGCGGTCTTAGAACTCACCTTGGGATTCGAGCATGGTAGCCTTGACAGTGGATAGGATTTTCAATTGATTTCCAATCGTAAGGATCCGGTCGCTTAGGTGCATTAGATTCTGAAAACGCACATGGAGTCACGATGCTTTTGTTTAGATAAAATGGAATAGAGTTTATGCGTTGTGGTAGCAGCAGTAGTAACCAGAACAAAGAGACAAACTGACGGCAAAAAGCTAAACAAGATTCCTGGAAGAATTGACGTTTAGCAGTCTCCGTTTTATTCTTTAATCAGTGTAGACTAGAATTTGAGCAGGCGCAGCGCACCAACAGGATAAAAACAGAACGATTGTGTGCATACGGGGATCACTGAGGCATATTTGGATGGAACGTTTATGAATCGAGTCAAACACAGGTATCAGGCTACTATTAGCAAACCAAAGGCACTCGTCAACTGGATCGTGGTTATTCATTCTTGAACTACGCATGCTTGCAGATCGCCGCATGTAATGACAGCTGTTTGCGAATTATGGTTTCAGTTTGAACAACCATTAACCATGCACTTTCGTGCGCCGGTTTTGGTTGCTGTCT